AGAGCAGGGACATTAAAGTAGAATGCCTATTTAATTTTATTTTTCTCTTTTAAATAAGCTGTTACTCTCTCTCTGTTCCAGTTCTATCACAGAGAAAGTGAAAACAATCATGCCTTTTGCATCAGTCCTTCCTTGGCTAAACGTTTGCAACAGACCAGTTTAGTTGGGATTGGGGTGGACAGGCAAACATGATTCCCCTGGTCTTGGGGAAAGGGCTGCTCCCCCCCTGATTTTCTGTGACCTCTCTCTTCACCCCCTAAGTGGTCACTCCCCCATCCCCATCCTTAGAAGGCTACATGCCGCTCTCGGAGGAAGTTGGCTTCCACTGATTCATCCACAGATGAGCCAAGCACTACAAAAGCAGAAAAAGTAACTTGGGATGGCAATTTGCTGTGTGTGCCTGCAGCTACATTAAGGACCACCACCACAACAGGGAGGGAAGGTGTGTGCAGCTTCCAGAGAACCTCCACTCTGCTTTATCTGGAGCCACAGACGCACATTTGCAGTGTGTATAGATGGTATAGGGAAAAACTACATGATTCCAGATCTACCCACTGCTCTTCTCTGTGTCATGCTATTCGTGGCTCATGTGGTATATCCCCAGCTTGAAAAATAGTGCTTTAAAAACTCCTTCCTAGTTTATGCCAGTGTTTAAAGTCACCAACCCAGTTCGATTTTAAAAGTATATATTTAATTCCAAACTTAAGAAAAAAATGAAACCATTAACAAACAAAGATTTCAAGACTGTTTTAAAGATTTTGGCTAACTAAACATTACAAAGTTTTACATTGAGAGAATAAAAAGCTGATCATTAGGGTATCTTACAGTTCCTCCCTATATTTTCAAGGCATTTGCTTCAACAACTTGGTGTAGAATAGTATACAAGAGATGGGATAAGACTGCTGGAAATATTTAAGAATAATTTAAGATTCTTATGCTATTAAGGTATATTTTCATCAGAGCCAAATCTTGCTGTTCTCACACAAGCAGCTTACCACTTGAAATCACTGGGACCATGGACTGCGTAAGGATGGCAGACTACAGTAACTTCAGAAGCTCAGAATACTTTGAAAAATGTATCATTTTATTTGTACACTTAGAAAGTTGTACATAGAAACTTATAATACAGTCCTGCAAGTTACCTGTTGCTAAAAGAACTGCCAGCGATAGGAGAGGGTATTATTTTATCAACTGATCATCAGGAAGTTAGAGGAATAAACAAAACAGGAGAAAAATTAAAAAAAGTTAAGGAACTCTTATTCCCCCCCACATACAAATTTTTATAAATACAAAACAAATTCACAAATTACTTTGAATGCTAAATAAATATCTACTTTATAAACTCAGACTGAATACCTCCAGCCAGCACTGGTACAGTACTTTAAAGGATATGCAATTGTACTCATTCATGTGTAGTGTTGAAAAGGTGTACTCAGAGTTTCAGACATTTACACAGTTTCTTCAACTGTGCTACAGTAGAAGATTTTGTCTGAGTTGACAAAGTCCTCGCAATACCACAGCTCCTAGAAAATCTAGAGGATAAAACAAGGTCATATGGCGCAGAAAAAAATATTTCTGGAAGATATTTGGACACATGAATGTCTTAAAAATGTACAAAACCTCTGTAAACCAGTACTGTATCCAATACATCTATCAAAGTTATTAGACACTGAATAAAACTGTAGCAAAGGTAATCTTTCCTACATTCTCCTGAGTGCTTAATATTAAATTGAGAATATAGTGCAGGCCACACTTCAAGGTGGTTAAACTGGTGTTATTGCTTTATACAGATATGATGACTGCATGATTTAATGTTTCATTTTCATGAATATAAAGGTTCCCTCAAAAAAATCCTTTGGAAGGAAGAGGTTAAATTCGTGACTTCTTTGCAGCCGGAGCAGCGTGGTCCACATTACCAGATGCAATAGGGAGTCCAAGCTTTTGAGCCTGAACGTGGAAAAAAGCCTGAAGTCTAATTCCAGCTTTTGCTTCACTTGTATTACGAGGGTTGTACTCAAAGCAGTTCGAAAACATCAGTTCAATGTCTTCAATGAATTCAGCTGGTAAATAAAAATTAAAGAAATGAGTTTAGTGCATTTGCCAGGTCACCACAGATAATCGTATGAGTAAAGCATACTGTTACGGCACTACAGAATTCAGTAGGATGATGCCCTTTGTAAAGACAGTTGCTAAAGAGATCTTCACCTGTAAATGGGGTGAATTTAGTGTGTATGTATAGAGTCAGATTAACAACCCTACAGTTCGAGTCCTCTGTCTCCAATAATGGAAAGGGAAGTTTTCTGACATATCCCATCAATGTGCCACAACCCTATTCAACAGGTACCATCTCTAAGGCTTGAGGACGTAATTGAAACTCCATGACCATTCACGTTAGTTACATTTCACTTACACCTACATTAGTAGTACAACTACTAACACAATCACTACACTGAAAAAAGTGGTTCATACATTCCTAAGAATGCTTTTTCGAAGAAATACCAGTTTTCAAATCCTCCCATCCCAGCTCTGCTTAAGGGATAAGACCTCTAATTGTAAAGAACAGATCACAGGATTAATTACTTCAGTAAACAGTACTTACATGCTAATTTGTATTCACATTTATTCACTTTTTCACGGATTATATTTAAGGCAATAGGTTTTTTGATAATATCGTAGTAGTCTGGTACCTGCAAAAAAGTGTTCACTTTATTTTATTTACTATTTTATTATGTAAAAATATACATAAATGTATTTAATTCATAATAATTATGTGTTAAAATATACACAGAAAGTCACAAATTTACTTGGACTTTCTACTGTTACAGCAGAAAGACTTAATGGGCCCTTTATTGACAACCAGAATTTACTGAAATTCAGCTATTAATTTTTTGACCTAATTTTAAAGTTGTTCAAGCAAGGGACCACAAAATATAAAACGAATCAATAATGCATTCAGAGAAGTTAAAGAAATTAGGCAAAGAACCCCAAGCATAAATATCTGATGGAGAAAAATTTAAGAAAAAAAGAAGTGGTTTAATTTATAAGCTTTACATTTGTGTTAGAGCTGTTCAAACTTAAGATGCAAAAATAATTTATATTACGTAATATTACGTATTGTACAATGCTATTATCCTATACTGAAATCGGCTTCCAAGGGAGATTTTAAAAATCTCCAATGATGGGGATTCGACAAGCAGCTTGGACAAACACTAGTCAGGGATGGTCTACTTAATCCTGCTTCAGTGCTGGGGACCTTCTGAGGTCCCTTCCAGCCCTACATTTCTATGGTTCTAAGGTATCTCCAGACTCTTTTCATTTTGTTGTAGTACTTACTTTTATAACATTACAAGCTCCTTGATGCTGAGGGATGGCTGTTTTCACTCTATTACTCCTCACATATGTGAACTATTTTGTTCCTTGAAATGCCAGTTAGGCCTATTTGAAGGGTTGGAGACACTGCAGATTTCTATGTGGCATAAAGGATAGACCAGGGGGTTGCAAGGGTATTACATGGGGGCTCACAAGCTGTCAGCCTCCACTCTAATCCCCGCTTTGCCTCCAGCATTTATAACTGTGTTAAATATATTTGAAAGTGTTTTTAATTTATAAGGGGGAGTTGCTCTCAGAGGCTTGCTGTATGAAAGAGGTCACCAGTACAAAAGTTTGAGAACCACTGGGATTGTCTGGTATCTGCATACAGTCTATGAGAGAGCAGCTGCTCAGTCAATCACTCAGAGTTAGTCAAAATAAGAGATGCATACAGGATTCTTAAACCCAGACACTGATCATTTGGCTCACAAACCTTGAATTCTGTGCAAGCACACATTCCAAGGTCCACCCCCAAATCAGACTAGAAGACATTTTTAAATGCTGTCTTGTTTGTGGGACAATTTGAATCCCAAATTTGGTTGACAAGAAAACCCAGAAACATACATATATATTTTAAGCCAGATATAATTTGGCTATGGGCTCTCTTCTGAACATACATCTTGGGGTGCAACTTGCTAGCAAATTTGCAGGAGGGATCAGCAGTGAAGAAGGTAAAAATCATCCATTCCTTGGCATTTACAAAGAGTGATCATTAAGTACATCCAGGATTTGTAAATACGGGTCAGCACACTGACAGGCAGCAAGTAATTAAATTCCTCTGTTCTGGCACGACAGAATTAAAAGTGTAATCAGCAGTGGATTTTTCTTTTTCAAATCATAAAAGGGACTTGTTTTCTAGTGCTTTGCTTAATCTAGTTTGCATGTATCTGCAATGGAGCTCCTACCACTTTCTTCTGAAGGTCAAGATTAATACAGCTCCCCAATTGGAAGTTTTTCCTCAAATTCAGCCAGAGATTTTATTTTAATCCCATTACTCCAAGATATGGCCCTCTCTACTTGTTCCTGATCTAAGTAACTCCTCTCTCTTTGATGTTTATACCCTTCATTCATGTGTGTAGACTGTTATAATGTCCACGCCAACCCCCTTCTCTATGAAGATAGAGATTTTTTCCCCACTTTAATCTTATCATTCCTTCCAGCTGCCTAATAATTCCTGTTCTTGTCAGTTTCAAGTCTCAAGCTTTTGTGTAAAAAGTTGGTCAGAAATGAACAGAAATTTCAGATCTAGTCATACCAGAGCAACCCCCATGCACAGGGAGCAGCTTCAATGTGATTGATGAGAACAGGCATTCTGTGATGCTAGTATACCCCTCCCATTCTTCTGTATTCAGAAACTAATGGGAATGAAATTCCTGAGCTAATTGTCACTCTACTGCACAATCATTCAGACAGCATGGTTAACAGTAAGTTACTCCTATGACATGGTTCTGTTTCAATGTCCCCTGCTTTGAAAATGTTTTAGCACTCAAATCACATCAGGAAGCAAAATCCAGTGACAATTCTAGTTCAGTTGACTTTTTAATAAGCTGTCAAGTCTTACCTTTGGCAATATAGTGCAGATTTTCAAAAACTTTGCTACACTTGGACATTTTCTTATTGAATTATTTCAGGTCTTAAAACCCTCAGGACCAGATTGTAGCAAAAAAGTGTGGCTGCCCTCTGAGATTGGTGGGCGGAACCAGGAAGACCATGCTCACCATGCCGGAAGCAGAGGGGCAGGAGAGGAACAGAAAGTATAAAAAGCCGGCCCTGTAGGTCAGCTGGGCAGCAGCTGCCAAAGAAGACGGATGTATTCTCCTCACTGCTGATGCAGGAGCCCGCAGAAGACTTCAGCTACCTTGAGGACTTGCCTGAGCTACCAGAGGGGCCTGACCTGACCAACGGTGAGGCGCTGCTGGGTTTGCCAGTGGTGGTGTACCCTGAGGAAACCCACTCACCTCGCCAAGGTACCAAACCTGGGAAGAGTAGGAAGTAGCCCAGGGAAATTAGACAACCGTCTGGTAGAGTGCTGGCCTGATACAAGGTCAGCATGTTGCGGGCGGATCCCCACTGACCCAGTGGCAGACCACTCTTCTACTGTTAGGGCCCTGGGCTGGGACACAGTGGAGTCGGGTGGACCTGCATTTCCCTACCCGCTGCCATCCCAACCCTGGGGTGACAGCATCCGCACTTTCGGCCAGAAGGCCAGTGTGAGTCTACTTTCCGCTGAGCTAGCCCCCTAGACTGTGTAGAGCACTCACCTCTTGCCAGCCCCAGGCTCCTAGACTCTTACCTGCTGTACCCTGCTTGAGGGTTGGAGCTCTAGACTGTTGGGTGCCTCACCCTGCCTAAGGGCCTGGGCCCCTGACTGTTCACTGTTCCACCCCACCTGTGGGTTTGAGCCCTAGAGACAGTCAATTTCCCTCTTATGCAGAGTGCCGTTCCAGGTGCGTGACAGCAAAGAGGCATGGCCACTCTTGGAGATTTACAGCCACGCACGCCTACCTGCCAATACAGGTATATTTCACAGTAACTTGTCAAATTGGGAAATCTCAGTTCCTGACATCGAAGACTCAAGTTACATAGCAAGAGTTCTCTGAATCTTACTCAGTGGTATTCCCTTCTAGGGCTATTCAGTGAATCAGAATCTGATAATAAACATCATACCAAAATGTTGCCACAATATACATCCACCCCAGTTACCTGGACTTTGGAAACCAGTTTCATGAAAGGCCAGCTGTCATCATGTCGTACCAGTTCCACAACAAGTTGTTCAAAAGCTGACAGTTCATGGACTCCACCCTGACGACCCGAACTCCTCCTGTTCAATGAGGTGTGAGGAGATGAATCTGAAAAATAGATCACAAAACTACTGACAAAAAGAAAGAAAATGGCACACCAATATTAAGTATTTAATAAAACATGAAAACACTGGATGTGTAACATGCCAACAAGAGCTAATGGGATGTAGGGGATGGGAAGGTAGAAGATCAGATAGGGCTCTCTTGCAGTCTGGTCCGTTCAGCAAAGGGGTGGAAGACTTCTCCCGACCCCACCCCTGTAGTGTTTTAAATGCAGGTGTACTAGTAGCACTTCTGCTAAGCTTTATTTTGCCCAGCTACCCAATCCTGTGGGCCTTATTCACAGAAAGTGGGGTAGATTTGAAAAGCTAAATTTGGCAGACAAGGAGGCAGGAACTCTATGGATTTTACTGCTTAATTTCTCCTTCCAGAGTATAAAGAAAGCAGATGGGGCTCTGCTTCACTTCTTTGGATGTGTGGCTCATATGGGCAATAATAGATGGAAGCATTTGGGTTCTCTTTCTCACACTACTCACTCACTTTTGGAGTCAATTTATGTGTCAATTTACAGCTAAATATCATAGTTTGTTTACAGAACCTTAATTATCAATGTCAAATCATAGAAATGTAAGGCTGGAAGGAACCTTGAGACATCATTTAGTGCACCCCTACGCTGAGTTAGGACCAGTTACATCTGCACCATCCCTGACAGGTGTTTGTCTCACCCATCCTTAAAAACCTCCAATGATGGGGAGTCTACGACCTCCCTGGGAACCGAATTCCAGTACTTAACTAAGGATTTCTTAATATCTAACCTAAATCTCCCTTGCTGCAGATTAAACCCATTACTTGGCCTACCTTCAGTGGATATGGAGAACAAATGTGCACCCTCCTCTTTGTAACAGCCCTTAACATATTTAAAGCCTTCTGTTCCCCTTCAGTCTTCTTTTCTCAAGACTAAATATATCCAACTTTTAAAAATCTTTCCTCATAGGTCAGGTTTTCTGAATCTTTTATCATTTTATGTTGCTCTCCTCTGGACTCTCCCACTTTGTCCACATCTTTCCTAAAGCCTGGCACCAAACTTGTACAGCTGAGGCCTCACCAATGCTGAGTAGAGTGGAACAATAACATCCCATATCTTATGTATGATACTCCCGTTAATACACCCGAGACTGATATTGGCCTTCCCCCCACCCCCTAAAACACAGCAGCATCACCATTCAATTAGTGATTCACTATTACTCCCCAGATCCTATTCAGCAGTACTACTGCCTAGCCCAGTCTCCATTTTGTAGTTGTACATTGATTTTTCTTTCCTAAGTGCAGTACTTGTCTTTATTGAATTTCATCTTGTTGATTTCACACCAGTTTTCCAATTTGTCAGGGTCGCTTTGAATTCTAATCCTGTCCTCCAAAGCACTTGAAATACCTCCCAGTTTGGTGTCATCTCTAAATTTTATAAGCATGCTCTCCATTCCATTATCCAAGTCAGTGAAAATAGAACTGACCCCTGTGGGACTCCACTAGATACATCTTCCCAGTTTGACAGTGAACTATTGGCACTGTATATAAAGAGTAGCTCTTTCAACCAGTTGTGCACCTCCCTTAAAGTAATTTCATCTAGACCACATTTCTCTAATTAGTTATGAGAATGACATGTCGGGACTGTGTCAAAATCTTTACTAAAATCAATACAAGTCATATCTACTGCTTGTCCCTGAGTCCCCTATCCAGGAGGCCAGTAACCCCGTCAAATAAGGAAATTGGGTTTTGACATGACTTGTTCTTCACAAATCCATGCTGGCTATTTCTGATCACCTATTATCCTCTACATGCTTACAATCTGATTGTTTAATAATTTGTTCCAGTATTTTTCCAGGTATCAAAATTAGGCTGACTAGTCTATAACTTCCCTCTGTGTTCACCCTTTTAAAAACATAAATACTGTCTTGGCCCTTTTCAAGTCCTCTGGGACCTCAGCTCTCATCCACGAGTTCTCAAAGAAACTGCAAATGGTTCCAACTAGTTCATTAAGTAACCTAGGGTAAACTCCATCAGGCCCTGATGACTTGAATAAATATTATGTAGCCTGCTCCTTCCTTGTTCTGGCTTGTGTTCCTTCTCCCTTGCTGTTAATATTAAATTGTGTTAAGCATCAGGCCACAACAATTTTTTTTTTTTTTTTTTAAAAAAAGACTGACGCAAAATAGGCATTTAACACCTCAGTATTCTTGGTGTTGGCCATTATTAGCTCTGTTTGCCCACTATGTAGAGGACCTCCACACTCTTGTCTTTTTCTTGCTCATGACTTATTTATTGAACCAATTCTTATTGCCTTTTATGTTCCTTGCTAGATGTAACTCATTTTGTGCCTTACCCTTTCTGATTTTGTCCCTACATACTTGTATTATTTTGTATTCCTTAGGAATTTGTCCACGTTTCCAAGTTTTATAGGATGCATTTTTCAGTTTCAGGTCATTGAAGAGCTCTTCATGAAGCCATACTGGCCTCTTACTATTCTTCTTATCTTTCTTTTGCATGGGGATAGACTGATGTTGTGTCTTTAATATTAACTAAGAAACTGCCAGCTCTCATGAACTCCCTTTTCCCTTAGATTGTCTTCCTATGGGACCATACCTACCAGTTCTCAGAATTGGTTAAAGTCTGCTTTTTTTTAAGTCCATTGTCCTTATTCTGCTGCTTTCACTCCAGAGTGGAATATACATAGGTACCAGGTCTCAAAGGACAAAAGGTTACTTACAGTAACTGGGGGTTCTTAGAGACATGTGGTCCCTATCTATATTCCAGTATGCACTCTCCTTCCCCTCTGCTGTATCTGGAGTCGAATTCTTGTACACTGCATCCATTGGGCCACACAAGTGCCCTTGCTTTCCTGGTGCTTTCAACCAAAGGCATAAATGGCAGAGTGGACTGACTGCCTCTCCAGTTCCTTCTCTACCATAAATCCAGTAGAGATCCAAAGAAGAGCGGAAGGAGGGAGGGTGAGTAGTGGAATATGGATAGGAATCACAAAACCTCCAGTTACTATAAGTAACAGTTTCTTCTTTGAGACCTGGTCCCTACGTGTATTCCACTATGGGTGGCTGACAAGCAGTACTTAAGTAGGAGGGTAGGGGGGGACAAATGGCAGAGCTGTTTGGAGAACCACTGTCCCAAAGAATGAATCAGCAGAGTTCTGCACTAGAACATAATGATGTGCAAACATATGTATGGAACTCCACATAGCTGTTCTGCAAATGTAAAGAAATGGGTACTTCCTGAAGTGATGCCATTGAATTTGCTTGTGCTCTTGCAGAATGAGCCCTCAACCCATGAGGAGGAGGAAGATGCAGCAGCTGGTAGCAAAGCAGGATACAACCCAAGATCCACTTAAGAGGATATAGCTTAACCCAGTGGTTCTCAACCTGTTTACCATTGTGGGCTACAGTGTTATGTGGGCCACATCCAATACTACCTATATGGCCCTGAGGATGTCACATGGGCTGCAACGCTGTGCTGATTGGATTGCAAATGGCCCACAGGCCAAGAACCACTTAATCTCAGATTCATTCTGCTGTAGAGAGAAACAAACAAAACAATCTACGTGATTTTCTAATTGGTTTTGTCCTTTGCAGGTAGAAGGCAAGAGTGCATCATATGGTAAGGGAGTGAAGTCTCCTCTCCAGACACATATTTCAGGGAGAGAGTGGGGACACAGGTAAGTCTTTATCATTTCTTGTGAAACGCCAGAACTACTTTGGGGGTGAATTTTAGAGAGTCATAAAGAGACTTTGTCCTTATGGAATATACTGTATGGCACATCTGCCATTAGAGCTCCCAGCTCACCCATGCTTCTGGCTGAGGTGATATCAATGGCAGTTGAATTTCTTATGGCTAAGTGAGACACAGAAACTAATGGTTCTAAGGGAGGCTTAATGAGTACTGCAAGTACAAGATTTTAGTCCCAGCGTGGAGTAGATTTCCTTACTGGTGGGAAACTTGTAATTAAGCTTTTTAAGAATTTGGTAGTCGGAGAGTGAAAACTGAATAACCACCAGAGGGTAGATAGCATGCACTGATTGCTACCAGGTAGACTCGAATAGAACTTAAGGGAAAGCTCAGCTGTGGTGAGAGAAAGAAGATAGTCCAAAAGGAGGGGAATATCTGCTGACTCAAGAGATACATGTTTCTTCAGTGCCCAGATGGAAAAACGCTTCCACTTGGCTGAACAGCATTTTCTAGTGGAATCCTTTCTACTGTTAAGGATCATTTATACATCTTCAAACCACTAATATGCCAAAAACCAAGCCATAAAGGTAAAAAACATAAGGGTTGAGATGCTTGATCCTATCCGTCTCCTGGGCCAAGAGATCACAAAAGGACTAGATGGTCATCGGAGAACAAGATAACAGTCAGAGATTTGGGAATCAAAACTGCTGGGTCAGTTGGGGGGCAATGAGGATGACTTGTGCCCTATTCTGATGAATTTTCTGTAAGAACGGAGGTAGGAGCAGCGAGGGGGGAAAGGCATAGCTCAGATGATCTGACCAGTTGAGAAAAAGAGCATCACCCTTAGAGCATAGTCCTAGAGCTCCAAGTATATTTTGCATTTCTTGTTTGGGAGGTGAATAGATCCCAGTTGCTGGTCTTCCACTGAATGAAGATGCTATTTACGGCTGAATCATGAAATTCCCACTCACAATTGATGGCAAAATGCCTGCTGAGGGTGTCTGTCAACCCATTCTGAGTTCCTAGAAGATAAGCTGCCAGCTGGGTGATTTAATTCCTGATAAACCAGTTCCACAGGGTGACTGCATCTATACACAGGGGAACTGATCTTGCCCCTCCCACCCACCCCCCCGTTTGTTGATGTAAAAGACAGTTGTCATGTCTGACATTATCAGAAAATGATGGGACTGGAGGAGTTGGAGAAAAATCTTGCAAGCTTCTCAGGCTGCCTGGCATTCCAGAATGTTCATGTGCATCCTGGTTCTCAAGATGTCCAATTGCCCTGCACAATGTGGTTGTCCCTGTGGGCTCTCCAGCTAGAGAGAGGTGTCTATAAATGATCACCTTGTCTGGCAAGGATGGTAGGAAGGGGATGCCCATACATACCTGATAGGGATCTGTCATAAATATAAAGGGAAGGGTAAACCCCTTTGAAATCCTCCTGGCCAGGGGAAAGCTCCTCTCACCTGTAAAGGGTTAAGAAGCTAAAGGTAACCTCGCTGGCACCTGACCAAAATGACCAATGAGGAGACAAGATACTTTCAAAAGCTGGGAGGAGGGAGAGAAACAAAGGGTCTGTGTGTCTGTCTATATACTGTTTTCTGCCGGGGATAGACCAGGAATGGAGTCTTAGAACTTTTAGTAAGTAATCTAGCTAGGTATGTGTTAGATTATGATTTCTTTAAATGGCTGAGAAAAGAATTGTGCTGAATAGAATAACTATTTCTGTCTGTGTATCTTTTTTGTAACTTAAGGTTTTGCCTAGAGGGGTTCTCTATGTTTTTGAATCTAATTACCCTGTAAGATATCTACCATCCTGATTTTACAGGGGGATTTCTTTATTTCTATTTACTTCTATTTTTATTAAAAGTCTTCTTGTAAGAAAACTGAATGCTTTTTCATTGTTCTCAGATCCAAGGATTTCTATGCAAATTGGTGAGGCTTTTTATCCAACATTTCCCAGGAAAGGGGGGGTGCAAGTGTTGGGAGGATTGTTCATTGTTCTTAAGATCCAAGGGTCTGGGTCTGTAGTCACCTAGGCAAATTGGTGAGGCTTTTTACCAAACCTTGTCCAGGAAGTGGGGTGCAAGGTTTTGGGAAGTATTTTGGGGGGAAAGACGCGTCCAAACAGCTCTTCCCCAGTAACCAGTATTAGTTTGGTGGTGGTAGCGGCCAATCCAAGGACAACGGGTGGAATATTTTGTACCTTGGGGAAGTTTTGACCTAAGCTGGTAAAGATAAGCTTAGGAGGTTTTTCATGCAGGTCCCCACATCTGTACCCTAGAGTTCAGAGTGGGGGAGGAACCTTGACAGGATCCTTCCACCATATCAGGGAAGATGTTAATTTGGAAAGAATGGTTACCATGGTATTCATGCTGTGTTTGGTTAGTGAATAACTGTCTGGGGCCACGCCTGAAGGCCATATAGGTAGAGTGTGACAAATGGGATTGTGACTGTGGCAGACCAGGTGCCAGCTCATGCCACAGCCCCAGGCCAATTCACTTGTGTATTCGTATAGATCAAAGTGATAAATGTATAAGAATGTATTTGATATTTAAAGTTCATGAAAACTAGTGGGATGTTACTTGCATTGTTTTCACTTATTTGTGTCCTATTATAATGTAGTAGCAAACATTTACATTGTGTATACCCCTGCAACTAAGTAACCTATCAAATGAGAAAGGAGCCTTGTAGAATGTAAATGAAAAGTGCTCATTTCAAAGTAAGTGGTCTGTGTGTGTGATGACTGAAGGTCAAAGGACCAAAATGGATTCCTCGCTCTCCGTCAAAGGAAGAGCCCACAGAGGTAGTAACACTCTCAGCTTGTTTTCTGTGTGAAGAAGCTATAAGTAAAGATTCAAGGAAAGATCCTGTGTCTCTGGACTATTTGGACTTTTACAGAGAAGTGCCCCAGAAGAAAAAGAGCCCCAAAGACAATCTGGGTATTCTGAGAAGACTTTTGGGAAACTAGCAATTTATTACATATTGCCACCATTTGGGATTACAAACTATGACTCCTTGTGCATATATTTTACCTGCTTTAACCTCCCAATAACTCTCACTTCCTTTTCTTAGTTAAGAAGTCTTGTTATTTTACTATAGAATTGGCGGCCAGCTTTGTCTTTAGTGAAAGATGTAGTGTTCCAACTGATCTGGGGTAAGTGATTGGTCTCTTGGGACTGGAAGCAACATAGATCTGATGTGATTTTTGGTATAAGTAATCATTTTATCACAAAGTCCAGTTTGTCTGGATGGCAAGATAGACTGGAGAGTCTAAGGGAAAAAATGGTTACCCACCCTTTTGTAACTGTTGTTCTTCGAGATGTGGTGTTCATGTCCATTCCATTGTAGGTGTGCTTGCGCACCAACGGAGACTTTTAACGGTACCCGTAGGGCCGTCTATTGTGCCCTCTGGAGTGCCGTGCTCATGGCGCAGTGTGCCCTCTCGGTTCCTTCTTGCAGACAACTCTGACAGAGAGGCAGGAGGGTGGGTAATGGAATGAACACGAACACCACATCTCGAAGAACAACAGTTACCAAAAGGTGGTTAACTGTTTTTTCTTCGAGTGCTTGCTCATGTTGATTCCATTGTAGGTGACTCACATGCAGAATCCATGCAGAGGGTCGCGAAATAGACTTCCTGCAGCACCGACCTGGGATTGCACCACCAATCCAGAGACCAGAGGACGTGGCTCAGCACCGTGACCACTCGGTCCGGGGGCGCCTGCTGGGAACGTAGACTGAGGACAGCCACGCTTGCAGGGGCCTCAGATGCAGCTGGGTGTGGCTTACCACGTAGGTGCATGTGGCCAATCAGTCGCAGGCACGTGTGGGTCACGGTAGGCGGTTGGCTCTGTTTGCGGGCAATCAAGACTGACATGACTTGAAAACGCACTTTTGGCGGGAAGGCCCTGGCCCGCATGGAGTTGAGAACCGCTCTGATGAATTCTATACGTTAAACCGGTGTTAATGTGGATTTTTCTGTGTTTATTAGGAAACCCAGATCGCTGCAGGTGGAGCGCACCAGAACAAGGCTCCTCTGGACCTGCCCTTGATGAGCCAATTGTCAAGATACAGGAAGATCTGGATCCCTCAATGCCTCAGGTAAGCCGCCGCACATTTCGTGAACACCCTAGGGCCCAAGAACAAGCCAAAGGGCAGCGCCATAAACATGGTACTATGAAACGCAGGAAATGTCTGTGCCCAAGGAAGATAAAAGACGCTTACTAAGTCTAAGTCAAGAATGGCGTACCAGTGCCCTGGATCCAGGGAAGGGATGATGGAGGCCAGGGATACCATGTGGAACTTCAACTTCGTGAGAGACTTGTTGAGGCCCCACAGGTCCAGGATGGGTCTGAGCCCCCCTTTTGCCTTTGGGCTTAGGAAGTAGCAGGAGTAGAATCCTCTTCCTTGCATATCCCAAGGAACCTCCTCCACAGCCCCCCATAGGAGGTTCTTGACCTCCTGAACGAGGAGTTGCTTGTGAGAAGGGTCCCTAAAGAGGGACGGGGGAAGAGGCAGAGTGCGAAGGAGGGGCAGCCAAAAATTGCAGAGTGTAGCCCCGAGTCACTATGTCCAGGACCCAACAGTCCGAGGTAACCCACAACCAGGCCGAGTGGTAAGGGAAGAGGTGGCTTAGGAAGGGGCGGGAAGGATCCGGGCAGTTGGTTGGTGCGTCACTCCTGAGCACGCCCTCAAATGAGCGCTTTTGGACCCCGTGGTGTTTCACCAGGCCAGGCTGTGCAGGAGATCAGGACGACAAAGAGCAGCAGCAGCTAAACCTGGTGTCCCTTTTTCTCATAGGCCCCTGCTGAGGCTGCCACTGCCTAGGTGGCAGAAGAGGCCAGAACAGCTGCCTGGACGTCTGAGGGATGTGCATCCCCAGGAAGTGGAGGGTTGCCCTTGTGTCCTTTAGGCCATGCAGATGTGCATCCGTTTGGTTGGAAACTAGGCAGATGTAGTCTAACGGAAGGTCCTGGATCGAGACCCACATCTCTTGGGACAGGCCAGCGGTCTGGAGCAAGGAACTGTGCCGCATAACCACCGCCAAAGCAACCACTCAGGCAGCTGAACTGGCCGCATCCCAGGCCATCTGGAGAAAGGACCAGGTGCTGCGGTCCCTTCATCCACCAGGCTTGTGAACTCCTGGGCCGCCTCCTAGGACATGGAGTCCTTAAAACTTGAGGAGAGTCCCACAAGTTAAAATTGTAGCAGCCCAGGAGGGCTTAGTGGTTTGCCACCCGAAACTGGACGCTGGCAGTAGAATAAATCTTTCAGCCGAACAAATCCAGTCTCTTGGCCTCTTTGTTCTTAGGAGTAGAACTGGTAGGCCCATATTTGTCCCGTTGGTTAGCCACGGACATGACCAACGACCCCGTTGGTGGATGAGTGTATAAGTACTCGAACCCTTTTGTGGTAATGAAGTACTTCTTTTCCGCCCTTTTTGAGGTGGGTGGGATGGAGAACAAGGTTTGCCAGATGACTTTGACAATGTTCAAGACCCCTTTGTGTACCAGAAGCGTGACCCAGACTGGGGCGGACACGGAGCACATTAAGTAATGTGTCCATCTGTTCCTGCATCTCCTCCGCCTTGAGGCCCAAGTGAGTTGTCACCCTGCAGAGCAGTGCCTGATGCTCACGAAAATCTTCCAGTAGGCCCCGTGACCACCTTGTCCGGGGAGGATGAGGATGATTGGACGACCGGGGGGGGGGGTTGCTCCATAGGACCTTTACTGCTCCCCGGAGTCGGTGGCGGGTCCTTTTGGGGGGAGGGACTCCCCACAGCTGAGCCCTTTAGCCAGTCCAGAGGGTGTAAGGCCCGAGCAGGGTCCTTTTCCCACAGCCCCTTGGTTGGTGCCATCTTCTTAGCCTTTTTCTTTGGGATCAGTGACGGATCAGTGCCAGAGGTGCGCTACGCTCCAAAGTTGAAGCGCTGGGTGCCAGTTCGTGCCACGCTGGCTCCAAAGCTGGGCACAGGGCAGCCTGCATCAGGAGAGCCCTGAGACTGATGTCGTGCTCCCTTTGTGTCTGCGGATGAAAGTTCTGGCAGATGCGACAGCGCTCCTTTATATAGGTTTCCCTGAGGCACTGTTGACAACTCTCATGTGGGTCACTAACAGGCATAGGCCTGTAACAGGATGAGCAGGGCTTGAAACTCAGAGACTGGGGCATGCTCATTGGGGGGAAAAACCCCCACTGGGACACTAACTAAACAATTAATGGGTACTTAACTAACAACGATTAAAACTATTTACAAGTAAAGCACAAGGCTAAACTAGATGAGAAACCGCTGAGCGCTTGCGAAGCAAGGAACAGAGGCGGTCCAACTGACCACCATGGGTGGTAAGAAAGAACTGAGAGGCACTGGCGCCTGATATACCACGCCACGAGCACAGCACTTCAGAGGGCGCCACAGCCAGCTCTCCGGGTACCGCTAAAGCAAAAGTCTCTGACAGCCGCGCACTTGGGTGCACGCAACACCTACAATGAAATCAACACGAGCAAGCACTCGAAGAAGAACTATCTGTGACTCCATGGTAAGGTTCATGTTTGTCATTGGCTTGGTGAATTAATTATAGAACACATCACCAGTTTGGGGTGTCTACCCTGTTTTCTGACAGTCTGCCCTGAGGCAGGCCCTATGTCATAAGCCACTCCAGACAGCGTGACAGAGATAACAAGCACATGAAGCCATGTACCCCAGGATGGAAAGACGAGTTCTGACTGGAGCTTGAGGATTGCATATAACCTGATCTATTAGGTTGCTCATGGTGCAAAACCTGTCCCTTGATAGATAAGCTCTTGCCATGACTGAAGTATTAAAATATAGTCCGCATCATAAGGACAGACTTTTCTAAGTTCACATTGACTCCAAGGGAAGAGAGTAGTTGAGGCATTGATGAGGTTGACTTCTAGGCTTCCTGAGGCACCTTGGGAACGAGAAGCCAACTGTCGATAGAAGAAAAAGATGGAATGGCTTCACCAGAAATGCACTGCTACTGCCAGAACGACCTTAGTAAAGGTCCCAGGGGGCAGCAGTGAGGCTAACTGGGAGCACAGTGTATTGCAAGTGGTCGGAGCCCACCATGAATCTGAGAAAATGCCTGTGGGTGGGGGTGAATATCTACATAAAAGAAAGTATCCTTCACATCAACAGCTGCAAACCACATCATTTTCCAGGGATGGGATTATTTATGCCAGAGTGGCGATGTAAAATCTCAGTTTGCGAATAAAGCAGTTGAGATAACAGACTGAAGACCGGTCTCCAACCTCCCATTTTTTAGAAACTACATAGAGTAAAAACTTGTCCATTCGTGTTGAAGCTCTATTGCATCTTGCTGGAGGAGAGATTCCATTCCTCTTGCCTGAGAATCCCCTTATGAGAATGGTCCCTAAAGAGGGACAGGGATGGGGACTTTGGAGGAGGTAGGGACAAACTCAATTTTATTGCTGTAATGGAAGATATCTAATATCCACTTGACTGTTATAGCAGTTCAGTTGTGGAAACAGAGTGTTAAATGACCACTGAAAAGTATTTGGGGATAGGGCAGTGGTGGCATCATAAATGGTTTACATTTCTCGAGCTCCCATCAAAAATATCTTAGTGGGGGATGGGAGGTTCAGGGAAACAAGACTTCTGTATTTCTTTGTGCCCTCCTTGTAAGAGACAAGGCCACAACTGAAATGCCAATCTAGGTTTGTAAGGCTGCTTGAGATACTTTAAAGGACTCCTGCCCCCCAAAAGGAAGTATGAAAGGACTCATCTGTCTTTTCATTGAAAAAAATGGGCATCATCAAAAAGGTAAGTCCTTCACCATGTTTTGGACCTCCATGGGAAACTCCGAAGCATGCAACCATGACTCACTGTTTAGATTAAAAGAAAAGGAGTACTTGTGGCACCTTAGAGACTAACCAAACCAATTTATTTGGTTAGTCTCTAAGGTGCCACAAGTACTCCTTTTCTTTTTGCGAATACAGACTAACATAACTGTTACTCTGAAACCTCTTTAGGTTAAGTTTTTGTCACAATTATTTTTAGTAAAAGTCATGGACAGGTAGCAGTCAATCAACAGTAATTCGCAGAAGCCCAAGCCCTGCCACCCAGGGCTTATCCCACTGTGCACGGCTGAAGTTGCAGAAGTCATCCAAAAAAAAAAAAAAAAAATCACAAATCCATGACAGACTCATAGCCTTACTTATGGTGCATCACAGTGGCCTGTCTGCTGCACCAACCGCTGGATACAGAAGGGCAGTTCTGGCCACCAACTTACCCTCTTCACTCAGAGCCTGGAAATGAGCTCTGTTCTGCTGCGAGTCTGTGAATTCCGAATGAGAGAGTCATACTTAGCCAACAGCACTTGATGGTTTGCTATTCTGAAATGAAGGCTAGTGGATGTTGGGAAGAAAGGTTTTCACAAGTCAGATGTTTGGGCTTCTTGTCAGGAGTAGATTTAATATGATGTTGTCTAGGTCAATGGTTCTCAAACTTATTTGAATGCGCCCTCCTTCTTTGTATCTCTAGTAGTTTATGCCCCTGCGCCACACAAGTATGTATAAAACCCCCCCCACAACATGCAACTCTTACTAAATATTAAAACCATCAAGGAAACAATTCATTTTAATAAGAGCAAAAGCAAAACTGCAATTGTGATTGATGTTTACAATTAAATGGATTAATGTACAGATGGCAACGACTTAATATAATGCTATGGAAGCTGAACAGAAATCCATCAAAATGCACAGCACCATCTAGAGCACAGTTGGTCCGCAAACCGTGGGGCACACCCCCCTAGGGAGGCATGAGGGAATGTTCAGGGTCGGAGGGTGGTGCAGCGGAGCCTGGGCCAACCCCCATGGGGGGTGGGGAGGGAGTGCCACCCAGCCCTGCTCCACTGCCAGCTCTGCTCCAGCCCTGTCCCCAGCTGTGGTCCCACACCAGACTCTGCTCCCAGCCTCGGCCCCCTGACTGTGGCCTGGCAGTGGCTCTGGACCGCGGCGCCATTCCTGGCCCTGGGGGGAGGGTGTAGACAGGGGTAAGAGGGGGGGCATGACCCTACAAAGTTTGGGGATCACTGATCTAAAGTCGAATGCACAGTACCATCTGAGGACCTGATATGTCTGGAGGAATAAGCTTTGCTAGTTATTCATTGCTGTGGGTAAATTGTGTGCATTAAAATTTTTTTCCCCTAAAGCTTCTCACATACAGAATACATATTGCCCCCAAGTTTGAGAACCTCTGCTCTATACTAATATTCCAGTCATGAGATTTATCCCACCAAGTCTCTGTGATGCATGTTACATCATGATTTTGCTTATGTATGAAGACTTCCAGTTCTTCCTGTTTATTCCCCATACTTCTTGCATTGTATACTTACATACAAGATGTTGAGATTCCCCCCATTGTTTTCCCTCGTTAAACCTGTGAACCTATTGTAATTTTCCATTCCCCACCCCCAAAACTTCCAGCCCTCTGTCAAGATCACCTTTCATACTTACCTGTAGGGTTTTGTCACCCTGCCTCCTTTTAACTTAGTTTAAAGCCCTCCTTACTATGTTAGTAAGCACCTCAAGATACTCTTCCCCTTCATCAGGGGAAGAGATTGGGGAAGGAGGACTGCTGTGGACCCTAACAGCATCCCACCATGGTCAAGGAAGTCAAAGCCCTCCTGTCATCAGCATCTGTACAGCCAGGCACTCATCTCCAGGATATATCTATCCCTGCCCAAACCCCTATCCTCAACCGACAGGATTGATGAGAATACCACTTTCACCCTCAGTCCCAGAGCCTTATTGTAATCACTACTGATCTGCTCAAGGTCATACCCTGACAGTATGACCAGCAGCTTTCATTTTGGGAGACCCAGTTTCAATAAAATAGCCCCCCAAACACAATTCTCAGTTTGGTTCAGTCCCATATGTATATCAAGGCCACATATCTGAACTGTGCTACAGCCTTGCTGAAATACAGTACAAAGTCAGTAGTGACCTAATGAAGATCACGTCAGGCACATTAGGATAAAAGAGGAGGAATCTAGGAAGCTCAATATAAAAATATACTTTTTAAAAATGTGTATAACCAAGAAAACAGTTAAAAAAACCCCAAAACAACAGCTCATACATAAAGGATTAAATAGAGCATCTATCTACTACACGGTTATAGCAGAGTCCTCTCTTACAGTCTGAACTACCATTTTTCCATCCTACAAATACAACTAATTCAGAGAACAGTTACTCTGCTTTCTGATCGGGAAGGACTAGCAGAGTATTGGCTACAGGATAAG